GAAAATAATTTTATGGTTGGGGGTCACCACAACATGAGGAACTGTATTAAGGGGTCAGGGCATTAGGAAGGGTGAGAACGGCTGCTCTAGAGGAAGATAATTCCTGACAGAGGGAACAACATGTGCAGAAGACTTAGGAACAAAAGCTTGACTTATTCTAAAAAGTGAAAGCATCTCAGTGTAGTTAAAACACAGATAAGGAAGAGAATGGCATGAGCTGATGGAGAAGGGCACAAGAGCCATATTAGGTATGGCCTTAAGGCCACAGTAAGAAGTTTGGCCTTAATGCAATATAGAACCTGCAAAGGATTTAAGACAGGAGAATGACATAACATTTCGTAGAAAGACCATTTTGGCCACAGTGTGGAAAGGGTAAGAATAGGTCAAGAAATGACATAGTTCCTGACATCAAGGAGTGCAAAATTAAAGAGAAAGACATGTTAACAGAATTTCAGGAAGTGTGGTAAGTGGCAGGACAGATGTAAGGGAGTATGGAAACAAGTATGTGTCCCAATCCCAATATACCACTTCTATACTATTCCATTTTTGTGACTTTAGTGCAACTTATTTAACCTCTCTTGTTCTCAGCGTCCTCATTTGTAATATGGAAATAATTATAGGGCTGCTATGAGAATTAATGAGATAATATGTAAAGCGTGCTTAGTGTGCAAGTAGATGGTAGCCCTCAATAAATGGTAGCTGTAATTAATGTTAGTGATGGACACAATATGGGGAGTGGACTGCAAGGGGCAAGACAGGTGCATGGAGTCCAGTAAGGTATCTGTCACAATAGTCAAGAAGAATGATGACAGTGGCCTGGATTAAGATGGCAACAATAGAAGTACAGGTGGGGTGGATATGGATTTGAGAGCTTTTCAGGAGGGAGAATTACCTGGTTTCTGATTGGATATGGGCAAAATATAGCAATAGAGGTTGGATGTATTTCCAGTTCCTAGCTTGAGTGTATGGGAGGAGAGTCATGGCACTGATTGAGAAGGGGAACTCAGACTTAAGTCTGACACAAATCTTACACCTCATTCTGAGACACGAAACAAAAATACATCTATATTGAAGGGGCGAAATATTGGCAACACAGTGGGCAAAAAAACCAACCAGAAATAGTCAACAGTAGATCCAGAGCCAAAGAGGGAGACAGAGACAGAGTCAGAGGCAGAGACACAGAAAAGGAACATACTCCGACTTTAGCCCTTCCATTCAGCACTTTCCTTTTAGTGGGTTCTTAGGTTGTTGTCCTTTCTTAAATTTCAGAAATGTCACAGGTTTCCCACAGTAAACTAAATATTCCCCCTCTGAAAGAGTTTACATTTCTGCCCTAAAAAAGAAATTCCCCCAGCATCTCCCTATAATGCGAATTTTATATATAATAGTCACTAAACAGATTTGGGGAAAAACCCTTCCTACCTCCCTTTCAGTCTGGAGAAGAGAAGAGGTTTTAGGAAAGCAGGCCATGCACATCTCTAAACTCACAATGAACTGTGAATTGCAGTGGCTTTAAGAGCCCACAGGAGGGCTGGAGAGTGGTGCATTGGTTAAGAGTTGGCTTGGGATGCCAGCTCTGAGCAGCAGGGCCCCGGTTTGGATCCCACATGAGGGCCAGTGACGCTGGGCCCGTTACAGCTAAGATGGTGAAAAACAGCTCGACCTGGAGCTGGGCTGCCATGAGTCACCATCATTGGCTTAGGCTGCAGCCGCTGCTACAGTGAGCTGCCGTGAGCCACCATGAGTGGCTGTCCAATGGCCGGTGAGTGACTGCCTCACCTGGGGAAGAGCGCAATGATAATACCAACATGGGCTAGTGGAGTGACGTTCTCCACCACTAGACTGAAGAACAAAAGCACAGCAACTTCTCTGTTCCCCTTTCCCCAATTCCCCAATGCTGTTCCCCTCCCCCAATTCCCCAATAAAATCTTTTTTAAAAAAAATAACCCACAGGAAATAGACGAGAACTTGCCCCTTTAGTAAGTGAAACTTACTATACCAGTGAAGCAGGAACAAACCCTCATGCGTATAAGTTGAAAAAGTGGAAGTGTGATTTGGGTGTGAGCTGTTCTTAGTTCTTGAAATTGAAATGCACTTGATGTATTTTCCCTTGCTCTCTCACAGCCTCTGTATGGATAATAGATGAGAGTAGAAACAGTGCTAATATTCAAGTCAAAAGAGGTGGTGAGGAGAGATTGGTGACATGTGTGAGAGCAAGTGTTTAGTTATATCCTAACGCCCTACCTAGAGTAATCCTAGTGTTATAAGATAATAAGATTCTACTGTGGGATTAGAAAGGTTCTGCTATAATGTGTCCTCCAGGTGTCACAATGAATCCCATTCTATTAAGTAGTCCCTACTGAGCAGGAAGAGGCAAGTGGTATAGTAGAAATAGCATAGACTTTGGAACAAGTATGGCACAATAATAAATTTCGTTGTTAACATTTTCCAGATTTGTTACCTCAGGCAATTTACTGAATCTCTCTGAACCTTAGTTTCCTCATCTGCATATGAGAGTAATAATAGTACCTACCTATTAGGACAGTTTTGAGAAGTAAATTAGATAATGCATGTAAAAAATTTCATTACAGATTTTGAGGTACATCATTGGTAATCACACTATGATGATTATTTATTGTGTTTTCATCTGTGAGCACACCTCCACCCTCTTTTATAAGTCATACATACATAAGGAAGGTGACTGTATGACTTTTTTAGACATATCACAGATAGGCCAAGTGGAGAGAATGGATTATAAGGGGAGATAAAGTGAAAGCAGTCTTCAGAGTAATGGTAGCTCATAAAGTTGACTTTCTTTTTTCTGTGAATTAAAATTAATCACTTGGTGTTCTGTTGGGTTTTTTTAATCACATTTCTATTTCCTGGATCAGGACTTAAAAAAATGTATAGAAAGTCATTCTGCTACTTATAAGGAGAATTTAAAAGCAGGCTACTACTTTGTTTTTATAAACACAAAACAAAACAAAATTAAAATAACAACAAAACCCCTTACTCCATCTGAGGAACTACCTCACTGCTTTATTTCTTCCACTTCTAGCTCTAAATGCAGCAAACATTTATTTTTGCAATATGGACAGAAGCTATGTTTGTAAATGGTTAAGCATCTTGTCCTGTTTGAAGTCACTGTTCAGTGGCTTTGTCACCTTAATGTACTCCTTTCTGGGCCCTGCTTTTTCTCCTTGTATTATGTGGAAGCTGAATTAAATGATTTTCAAACCTCCTTTCTAATGTAAAATTCTATAAGAAAGTGAAAGTAAAATAATGAGATGGTTGCTTTTTTGCCATTCTTATTTTCAGGCAGTCTGCATAAGTCCACAGTGAGACCTAGAGAAACCCCACAGATTACTCTATATTCCCCAGGTCCCACATACAATACATAATAAAACCCACACTAAAGCATAAAATAAGGTTAAGGAAGTCCAAAAATCTTTTCTCTCCTTATGATGACTACTTTAATGAAAAAAAAATTAAATTTTAAATTGTTTCCAAAAAAATGATTGCGGTGGCCTGTTTTGCTGGTGCCCTAACCAATGTTCACTCTTGGATAATCTGTCATGTCCATGATGTCATACCAGTACAGAATTCCCCTTACACGAAGAGTTTTCCTTCTAGACCACATAAGGGAAAATACCTCAGTTCAGCTTCTAAGAAATTCATATATTACTTAGGTTTTTTTGTGTAAATTTGGTATATAACCTAAGCCAAGAGAGAGAGACAAAATCTACAAGAACCTCCAGCTATTGTGATAGAATAATAAGGAGGTAACACATCCAAGCCCTGAACATCAGCCAGGATACTAGCAATGCAGGGTAAAAGAGGCAGGCCATTTTCCAAGTGCTGGAGTGCCAAGATACGACCCAATGCCCAAGATGGCAAACAAGGGAGAGACAAAGGGACAAAAAAGGTGAAGCTGCATTTCTATCATTGCAGTTGGGAAGAGTGAGCAGTATTCACTTTAACCAAGGCTTGAGGCAAGACAAATTTGGACACAGGAGAAATAGACTCAAATGCCACACACTTTTGGCTATGGTGAGAACAATAGACTAAATCTCTCAGGACATGCTTACCTGCAAGAGACAACTTAGGCTATCTGGGCCTTCCTTTTTCTACTTCTATAATGTGGAGTCTGAATTAAATGTTTTTCATGGCCCTTTAACTGAATAATTGGATGACCTTAGATCAGTAGTAGATCTTCCTTGAAGATTTGCTTTTTCATCTGTAAACAGGTCACTTCTAATTGTAATGTTCTATGTCTTTGTCAGTACAAAAAGGCATCTGGGTGTTGATTAAAGAACTGGTTAACCATTATACTTTTTTTTCTTTGCTTTGGGCAGGGATCATAACTCCGTGGCTTACTTTGATGAATATACTGAAATATTCAAGATGGGTAGCAACAGTACTAGCAGTGATGAGACTAACTGCAATGTCACTAATGTAACATTTCAGTACTCCCTCTATGCAACCACTTACACCCTCATATTCATCCCTGGTCTTCTGGCCAACAGTGCAGCCTTGTGGGTCCTGTGCCGCTTCATCAGCAAGAAAAATAAAGCCATCATTTTCATGATCAACCTCTCCGTGGCTGACCTTGCCCATGTGCTGTCCTTACCCCTCCGGATTTACTATTACATCAGCCACCAATGGCCTTTCCAGAAGACCCTTTGCCTGCTGTGCTTCTACCTGAAGTATCTCAATATGTATGCCAGCATTTTCTTCCTGACTTGCATCAGCCTTCAGAGGTGCTTCTTTCTCCTCAAGCCCTTCAGGGCCAGAGACTGGAAGCGTAGGTACGATGTGGGCATCAGTGCTGCCATCTGGATCATCGTGGGCACTGCTTGTTTGCCATTTCCCATCCTGAGAAGCACGGACTTAGCCAACAACACTGAATCCTGCTTTGCTGATCTTGGATACAAGCGAATGAATGCAGTGGCTTTGGTTGGGATGATTACAGGTGCTGAGCTGGTAGGATTTGTGGTCCCGGTAGTCACCATTGCATGGTGTACCTGGAAAACTACCATATCCTTGAGACAACCATCAATGACTTTCCAAGGAATCAGTGAGAGGCAGAAAGCACTGCGGATGGTTTTCATGTGTGCTGCAGTCTTTGTCATATGCTTCACTCCCTATCATATTAACTTTATTTTTTACACCATGGTAAAGGAAACCATCATTAGCAGTTGTTCCATTGTCAAAAGCACACTGTATTTTCACCCTTTTTGTCTATGTCTTGCAAGTCTCTGCTGCCTTTTGGATCCAATTCTCTATTACTTCATGGCCTCAGAGTTTCGTGACCAACTATCCCGCCATGGCAGCTCTGTGACCCGTTCACGCCTGATGAGCAGGGAGAGTGGTTCATCAATGATTGGCTAAAAAATAAAATAATTTTTCAATTACAACTTGTTTAACTATGTTTCTCCCCCCCCCCCATTGGCCAAAGAACCAGCCAGATAATGTCTTTAATTGAACTTTGGGAATATAAGAAATAAATGTCTTCTTGTGTAATAGTTGTGGTCATAGGGGCGTGATGGTGGAGGCAGACTGTGAAAAATGTGGGCAAGGAAGGGAAGATGGAATTTGCCTGTTTCCTCTTTGAAATTCTAAGGCACTGTCTTATTTAAGAGACCTAGATCAAGTTTTTACAGATGTTTTCAACCAAATAGAAACTGGATATTTTATCTTAAATAGTTCTTCAGTAAATATGATATAGTTAATAAGATACAGTCAATGAATCTTTTCCAGATGTAAAAGGAAGTCTTTTTTTTAATATGAAGACATTTATTTGTGAATGAGAGTAAAAATCTCCAGTCTTTCTAAAAGATGAATGCACAGGATGGGGAGAATGAAGATTGAGGCAATTTGTGCATGAATAACCTATTACTGATTAAATGGCATGGGAATTTGTTTATTCACTGAAAGTATATTGGATGCCTATTGGATGAAAATATATTATATTATGGTTTGCCAAATTTTTAGGTACTTTCACATATAGTATCTCATCTGGTCCTTCTTATAAATTTGTGGAAGTTTCCAATACAAATAAATAAATGGAGCCTCAGAGAGGCGAAGCTACTTGCGTGGGAATAAACAGTGGTGAGTCAAAATTTGTCCTATATACATCACATATGTTTAAGTTGTCCCCTCTATTTGTATTGTTATCTTTACCAGGTCAAACCTAAACTTGACTTGAATGGTGAAGACACAGACTAAAGCTAAGCTACATGAGACAAATTTTGCCTGAGATTATCTAGAAAGTCTGTGAGTTGTAGGGGTGAATGTCAGGTATCAGGCTGCAATGCATCAAATGATAGATAGATAGATTGTTCTAATACTGTCCTATCTACAGAGTCCTGATAATCAGGAGCATAAGAGGCCCAAATAATTCATTATTTCAGCCAAAATATAATTTAAGACTTATTGTAGGCCATATAAATCCCATAAATAGATTAAAGAAAGAAAGCTGTAAAGTTGAGAGATGAACATTCTGTGAAATTTAATTTTTTTGAGTTTGCCTAACCTCTTCCTTCTTAAAAAATACTATACATCTCCCTGAACAAATTTGTGTTTACTAAGAAAGTTCTCTGAACAGAGCTCATAGAATTGCATTAGAAATTGAAAATTTTATCACATCATGAATGAATGAGATCAAGTGTGTTGTTTTTCTGGAAATCTTCCTATCTTTATTTTTCTGGAGGCTATAAACATTGTTTCAAAGTCATTATGAGGGATTTGAATACAAGCAATCCTCAGTTTCTCAGGTTGACATTTATGAAGCTCCATCCATTATTCTAATCCTTTATGCCTGCAATTTAAATGACAAAGACACTAGGTGTGCAGAGAGGATGAAGAAGGTGGTGGTCCTCAAAATATCCATTTGCACAGACTGGCTATGGAAGAGGATGAAGAGGCAACTAAAAAGGAGGAACTTTTTAAAAAAAGAACAAGGTCTCAAGGAGGGAGAGCGTTCTGTAATTACAAAGTAATGTAACTGTTTTTTTGTTTGTTTGTTTGTTTGTTTTGTTTGTATGTTTGTCTTTGTGTGTGTGTGTGTGTGTGTGTGTGTGTGTGTGTGTGTGTGTGCGCGCGCGCGCGCTTTATTAACTGGCATCTGAAGGCACTGCCTAAAGTGGGTTTTCACATATGCTTGGACATAATGGCAACATTATCAGAATGACTGTATAAACAGCCTCACTATAAAGAATGATTTTGAAAGAAACCCATGTGGAACTCCACATCCTGCTATGCTTGTGGAGAAAAGGAACCTAAGCTCTAAATAGTCACAATTTATAGTCCCTCTTTTCAAGTTGTTCACAAGAGGTACTGTTTCAAGCACAGGATTTATGGATGAGTGGGCACATTAAATTATGTGTCTTTCTGTTGGCCACCATTAAAGTGGAATCACTGAGCTTTTTCTTACACATGAGTTCCTATTGTAGGGAGAGAGAAAAAGATAACACCAAAGCAAGAAATAGTAGGTTCTTGAATTTTAAAGGCTGTGATGCCTTATATAAGGTTAGTGGAAATAGAGACAGTGCTTGGGATTATGAGATAACAGCTCAAGAAATCAGTGAGGTTGAAGATATTGCAATGAACAATAATTTGAATAGTTATCTCTATGCTTGTCACAGGGATATGATGTGAGACGAAGAGAACAGCAAAGCATATATCCTTGAATCAGCTTTTCAAAAAGTCATCAAAAGGCTTGACATTGCTCCCAAATCTCTGCAAGATACCAGTCAAAATCCACTTAGACCCTATTCAGAATCTCATAATCTTGATGAAAGACTCTTTAACTTGCTGATAGTTTTGGAGAAGGGGGGGTGGATTTTGAAGAATATAATAACTGTGTACAACAATCTATGTGAATTTAAATGGAGTTTATGCATGATAGGTTATGCTGTTCACATTTAGAAAGTATTAAAAACTACCACAGAGTTTAAATATCACATTGATCATAGATTAAATAAATTATACTTGTGGAATATTTTGTAATATCTATAAAAATATTAAACATCATGCTGTTATATAAAAATTTAACTATCCTATTATAAAATTGGTTCTATGAGACAATCAGTTTTTTTTACATTCTTTTGCATATTTTTCAGGAATATAACCTACCATAAATGTAAGGTTGCTGCTTATAATAGAAATGTTGAACCACATTTCTCTTTTAAGTAGTAAGTAGTTTGGGTGTCATATTAATTCTTTATAGCTAATACTGTGCCTTTAAGTATATTACAAGTGCAATATGTAATTACAAATAAAAGTATGCTATTATACTTTAAGGCTCTGAAAGAGTTAATTAATCTCCCAAGGTTCCAAATTGACGACCAATAAATAATTAAGGTACTTTGGCTCCCTGATGTTTTAATCATTAACCATGATATTGTTTATGGAACAGAAAATTGGTTTCCATTTTTTATATAGGTATTACTTTGTCGAACTAAATTATATGTGCAGAATTTTCAATATAAAGAATTGATAGAGCAAGGAAGGAACAATTGGTTTATAGAAGCTGAATTTCAAATTGGGTATGAAGAAGAAAGAGGGAGAGAAACAAAATTCCAGGAGCTGTTGGCATAGACTAGTGTATTTCCTGATCTCCTGGAGTTGGGAGGGCACATTTTTATGGCCTGAGAAATTGCATTTGAACTGGGTCTTGCATGATGAGAAAGTTTTCAAGTTGTTGCTGAACATAGAGAAACAGTAAGCATTATTGTTGGAAACCCTCTTGAGCCAAGGGTAGAAAGATGAAAAAGCTGAAAGTTTTATGACACAAGATACTATAGTTTGGCTACAAATATACAGAGGAGCAGTAAGCAATGAGACAATAAAATTTAGAGGTCTGGTTTTTATTCAAGGTGGTGACGTAGTACTATCCTGAATTCACTTTCTTCTATGGACACATTGAATCTACAACTGCATATGGAACAATTTATTTTGAAAAAAAAAAGAACAACAACAACAAAAAACCTTAAAACTGGTGGAGTGACTCCTTCATATCAGAAAAGGAGAGAAACCACATTAAAGTGTGTAGGAAAGACAGATGCTATCGCACCATAAACCCCATTCCTTGTGAGGCAAACACATTCCAAAATGAACTCAAAACCCAAAACTTCATTTTGAGAAGTGAAGAGCTTGTACTCCACATTGGACACCCCAACTTTTAAGACTGACACTTGAGAGATGATCCCCCAAAACATTTGGCTTTGAAGAGCAACGGAGCTCATACCCTCTAGATCCATTGGGCTGTAGCGAACTGAGAAATAGCACTTAAATGCTCACATGGTGACTCATCTGCCCCAGGGCCCAGCAAAGAAGCAGTCCTTTGAAAAGCACCTAAACTTTAAAAAACTGATTTGCTAATTGTAAAGCTTTGCTCTGAGGGCAGGGGCCTGCTGGAATACTCTCCAAGGGCAGAGGCTGGTAGGCATAATCTTCCTGCCCTCCCTCTGCCATGCTAAAGATGGTAGGCAGCATCCTTTTTTTTAACCTTCCCAGCAGGTGCCATCTTTATGCTCCAGCTGGTGGAAGCCATCTACTGCACTCTTCCTTTGCCTTGCTAAAGCCGGTGAGTTCCATTTTTCCTCTCCCCCTTTTTTACCTTTCTTGATTTCTTTTTTCTTTCTTTCCTTTTTCTTTCTTTCTTTTTTTTTCTTTATCTTCAGAAGGGGAGCTACTACACATGTCTGGTACCCCTATTTTTTTATCTTATGACCCAATTTTTGAGGCTGCTACCCAGGGGATGTCCCTTAATTGTGTCTCTCTGGAGGCCAGGGGAGTTTCCAATCCTGAGTACCACAGGACTGTAAGAATTGGAGAAACAGTTCTGGGCAGACAACTGTACAGGAAACAGACTGAAAAACACCCTCATCTTTCTGAGAAAGAGACTTATTTGCTTGTCCAGGAACTTTGGCTTGAGGGGCAGGTCTACGGTGTAGCACACTTATAGAGGCCTGTGGAGGTACTCTCAGGGAATGGAGGCCTATCAATGCAATTTTTGCACTCTCCTTTTGCTTCACTCCAACTCACTGGTATCTTCCAGAAAGGAGGGTATACCCTGCTCTGGTGCTCAGTGTTTTGTAGCTGCTGCAAGAGAACAGCCCTTTGTGGCCTGGCTTTGTTGACCAGTGCAGCTTACACTTGTGGATCTCACAGGGCAGTGATCAGTAAAGAGTTGTTAAATAGCTACCACACCCAGTAATTAGAAAAATATAACAGACTCAGAAGTTCAGTTTTTCTGTGAAAGAGAACTAATTTGCTTATCATCTTTGCTGCAGCCTGAGGGGCAAGCTTCTAATTAAACACAACATGAAGGGCTGACTGTTAACTTTTCCTGAGACCACAGAGGGTGGGCATTATCTTCATGCCCTGTGTCTGCCACACTCCGCAGTACCAG